TCATATCTGCAAAGAGCCAGTAGTCGCTGGGGTCCAAATCTGGGGAGTACGGTGTGTGGCGAAACAATTCAAAACGTAATTCATTCAATTGAACCATCGTGTTCATCGACTTGTGATACGGCGCATTGCCTTCGTGAAACAGCAAACGCGGCACCCACTTTGAAAGCAATTTGCACATGCCCAAATTTTCATGCAAAATTGTAAAGACACTACCTTTTGATATCTTCAAGGCATCAGCTATCTCACACAACTTAAGTTTACGGCCCTTTAAAACTATTTTGTGACATTTTTTATGTTTTCCGGAACGACTGCTGATTTTGGGCAACCAGAGCGTTCAGCATCATCGATGCTTGTATGACCGCGTTTAAATTCAGCATACCAGTCAATGATAGTTGATTTCCCTGGTGCAGAGTCCCTATAATGCTTATCAAGTCACTTTTTGACTTCAACAGTATTTTCTCCGATTAAAAAACAGTGTTTAATCAACACACGAAATTCCTTTCTATCCATTGTCTTCAAAATTATGAAACTGGGAGTACTAAAATGACTGTAACTTCTAAGCTATTGGTCAGAATACCATGAAATTTTGACACATACTGTTTGAAGGTTAGTATTATTCGAAAATAACGTGGGTCTGTCACCAGTGTCGCCATATATGTGTCAGACCAGGGACTTATTGAGTGACGTTTTACTTTGGAATTTCCTTCATTTTCATTGCAGGGAAAAGAGTTGAAAAAGTTCGGTATATTCTACACAATTACAACTGCAATCTTTTACAAAATGTCGAAAACACGTCATTTAGTAAAGTCTTCTAGTTCCACTAATGTTTTCTAGTTTTGTTCAAAAACTTAAGTCGTTTGGTTCAATTTTGAAGCAGTTATTCTGCTTTAAAGAATGTTTATAGGTTTTCATGACTGACTGTACATAATTCGTTCAATTTAATCGTAATATTGTTTGCTCAATTTGATCAATTTATCGTAATACCTTTAACAATGCATGATAAAGGGTCTTCATGTAAGCAAGATATTGCAAACAGAAGTAGCATATTGCCCGCTGTTACTGTGTTTCTTTTTATTTTACTCTTTTTTGAAGCAATTATCAAGAAACAATTATCTTTTATAAAAAAAATTAACTTAAAGAAAGTAATATGTTATTGTAAATTTTTAGCATTATCTGAAGTCATAATTTGCAATTTTCAGTTTAACAAACTTGAATTAAAAACTATATGAAAAATTTCAGTTATAAAGTCATTTAACTAATAATTACATTTTAATTTTCAATTAAAAATACTGAATTATATATAATAAAATATGTTGAAACACTAAAAATTATCATTAATTTATTTTGTATTACTTATGTCTGTAAGCCATCGAGTGAAAATCGTCTCCATTATTATTGGTTCATTTTACTTTACACAGCATATTTCCAACAAATTAAATGAACAGCCATCTCTGTTAAAACACAAAAAACTATCATTGATTTATTTTGTACTATTTACGCCTGAAAACTACCAAGTGAAACTGGTCTTCATTATTATTGGTCCATTATTATTTTACATAGCGTATTTGCAACAAAATAAATGAACAGCCATCTCTGTTAAAACACAAAAACTATAATTCATGTATTTTGTATTATTTACGTCCGAGTACCAGCGAGCAATGCTCAGCCTCCATTATTATCGATGCATTATTATTTTACGTAGCATATTTGCAAAAAATTAAACGAACCATCTCTGTTAAATCGCTAAAAACCATCGTTGTTTCATTTTGTATTATTTATGTCTGAGTACCAACGAGCAATGCTCCATTATTATTTTATGTAGCATATTTGCAACAAATTAAACGAACCATCTCTGTTAAAACGCCAAGTATAAAATTATCATCGATTTATTTTTTATTATTTACGCGTGTAAACCACCCAGCAAACTCCAGTCTCCATTATTATCGATCCATTATTATTTTACACAGCATATTTGCAAATTCAAAGAATAGTGATCTCTGTTAAAACACCGAGTACAAAATTATTTTGTATTATTTACGTCCGTAAACCACCAAGCAATGGTCTCCATTATTACCCCTTCACTATTATCTTACACATTGCAACGATTAAGAAAGGTTTTTACAATATAATGATCTTGTATCAAGAATATGCATAACCAAAAAAGTAATATCCAAACAGGTTCGGTATTTCCTGGGAACCCGGTGTTCAGGTAAGAGTTAACCATGTCCGTATATGATACACTTGCCCCGCAAAAAGAGAGATGTACGAAGACATAACACCATAAATTCTCCTCAAATCGAGCGTAAAATGATGTCAGATGGTCGAAAGGTGAGATCGAATAAGAAAAGTAAGAAAAAACGAGCGTGATGTTCGCTCGTTCGTTTCGCAGATGCAGTCTCGAACTTATAAGACTGGACTGGCGACCTCTTACTCCTGTTTTAGCCCGAACAGACGGAGAGGAGAAGAGATCCGGTGACCCAGAACTTGGGAAAGCGAACCGCTCGCTACAACGCTCCTCTCGAGACGATCTTGCGCTCTAATTGTTTCTGGTGTCTGAAAGAACTGCAGGAACTTTCATCTGTCTCCACCATAATTTCCGGCTTTCCATCAACGTGGATCGACATGATCGCGATCATCACGCATCAAACGAAAGTAACAGCGATCGGAAGCAGTGCAGACGTTACGTCTGGATTTTACGGTGGGTTTTTAGTTTAGCGGATTATATAATTTATGGAACGATCAAAATTTAGTGGAATACACGAGCAAAAGTGGAGATATGTAACATATCTATTCGTTTTACTGTGTCGATAATTACGGTTTGGTATTGTAGTGGTATTTGGGAAGCTTTCATATTAATCTCTGCTTTGTGGATGCTGCGATGAGATATTGCGAAAAGCTTGCAAAATTGAAATAATTTGTTTCACTGTACAATTTTTTACTGCTTCTAGAGTGAAATGCTTGATACTGGAGGATTGAGTTGAAAAATTCAATTTTTAATTGAAATTCAATTTTCAAACAAGTATACAACTTTGTAATACAATAAAAGTGGGTAAATGTTAAAGAAGATATGTCGATAGTAGTTTTCAGCATTTTTTTAAATATTATTAAATGTTCAAACTTTTAAATTTTCACGTTTCCGAATTTTTAGAATAAATTAGTAAATAAAAATAATCGTCAAACCCAAATAGTTATCAAAGTCTAAATAGTCATCAAACTATTCAAATTTACATTTTTGAATTCCTCAAATTCATGAATCCATAAAATTTCCATATTTTCAAATTTTCAAATTCTAAAACTTTTAACTGTATAAATTCTTGAATCTAGAAAACTGTAAATCAATAAAGTTTTAAATTTTCAAATTCTCAATTAGGTATATCAATTTTTTAATTTTTAAGTTCTAAACTTCTTAAAATTCAAAATTCGTAAATTTTCTAATTTATAAATTTACAAATATTCAACTCATCAAATTCTCAAATTTTCTAGTTCAGAAATCTTCAAATCTCTAAATTAATAAATTCTAAATTCTCGAAGTTCTAAGTTCATAAATTCCCAAGTCTTTAATATTTTTAAATCTTCAAACTTCACAATCTCTATATCTTCGAATTTTCAAAATTCGAATTCTCACATTCCCAAAATTTCAATCCCAATATGACAAAATTTGCAAATTTTCAAACTCCCAAATTTCAAATACCGAAATTTCCAAATTTTCAAGCCTTCAAACTTCTACATTTGCAAATATATAAATTTCTAAACTTTCAAATTTCTAAGTATTCAAATTTCAAAACTTTCAAAATTCCAAATTTGCACTTCTCCAAATTTACAGCATCTCAAATTTCTAAATTTCTAAATTCTTATGTTTCTGAATTTTCAAATCTCCAAATATCCAAATTTATAAATGTATAAAAGTATAAGAGTTACTAGTCAAAAACTAACTGCTTTATAACTTAAAAATTCATTAATCAAAAAACGTCAAATGAAACCTTTTTCTGTATTGAAAGCTATAGAGTTTATAAATATACACAAACTAAATAACTAAATAATGATCTTACACGTCAAGACTTAAATAATGGTAAATAAAATACATTTTGATAAGTGAATGCAAAATGTGAAGATGATTGCCTAATTGTATCGATAAAATACCAATAGATTTAAGAAACATAACTCATATACTTAAATATTATACATATTTACATTTATGGCATGTAATTTGTAAAATATGGACAGCAATAATGATAACATTATTATACGTTATATTTTACTTCAATCAGATTCGGTGACTCTTTTTCGCATTAGTGATTTCAAATGTTATTGATGGTTCGTTGAGTATCAAAGAAGTGTCGATAATATATCAGTAGTCGATAGTCACACGCCAGTTACTTACCGGACTAGGGTAAATTTTACACGTTTGGATTAAGCTCGGAGAAATCGTAGCTTTATGGCATAATATTTTATCATGCATAAACATGCAATTTTAAGAGCTAGTTATTGGTCAGAAATAACGTCTATAATTGTTAAAAACTTATCGTAGAATTATTTAGTTTTATTTAGTTTTTAAGTGAAATTGTATAAGTATGGGTTATGTGTGATTGAATGTAAAATAATCATAGTTATTCGTTGTGCGAAATATTTCGAATTGCGAATATTATATTGTAAAAGCGAATGTAGCGTTAAGTTTATTTTGTATCGAAGAGCGAAGTAAGAGCGAGCGAGATAACATTAGTAAACTTCTTAGAAACGATGCCTAGCTGGCGATCTCCTTGCTTGCACAGGGGTGCTTCGGCAAACCTGGGGCCCTTCAGGCCAATGGCTAGGGGAGGTACTGTACGTATCGCCCTGAGGCTGGTATGACCCACAGTAGGAGATGTCGAAAATCTCCTAGGGGACAGTGGACAAAGAACCGCTTGGCGGTTTTCCGAGATCTTTAGGCTGGTCTAGGAGTAAAGCCGCTATGGTAGATAAGGGTAGAATTCGAGGAAAGTCGGAAAGGCCCGAGCGTGTCGCGAACATTGCTCGAGCGAGGCCCGAATATTCATTATAAATTTGTCGATTGTAGAAGCAAGACGTATCTGACTCGCTCTCACATGGGATATTATATTCGCGAATTAATTATATTTTTACTAACGTGGTTTCATTCGTCAATTACTGGTAATATTTTTGCTTTCTATAAATCCTGTAACTTTCTTCTATAAATACGTACAATTTGTATTCAAATTATTTATATAAAACTTGTTAACACATCCCGATTTTGCTTTCGTTTATTCATTGTTAGTTTATCAATTAACAATAATATTATTTTAATATTGTTGTTGATTCAGCACCCCGTTCACAGTATAAACATAC